AGGTAAGATCTCGGCATACTTCGATTAATTTATCAGAAGTGAAAATTAAAATGTGAAGATAATAGCTCTTGAACATTCAAAAGCTGGATACTGTCGTGTTGCATTGTATACCAGATACCATGTGCTGTGCATACCACCACTTCAAGTGCGACTGATAGATAACACACATTGAACCAGAACGGCACGGAGAAAAACAAAACACGTCGAGGCATACCCGAGGTACCAATGAAGAATGTCAGTCGACCGAACCCATCGAAACAACTGCCCACTGCTTCCTAGATTTTCAGTTCACGTCTCATTTTGTTCTTCACAAGACTGAATTCCCCACCGAATCGTTTCTCTGTTTGCTTGTTTTAAGCTAACTCAAGTATCTCCAAACATGATTGGTAACCATATCTTTTGCACAGCATATTTTCCATGATGTCAGTTCATTTCACTACTGACAGACGATAAAAGTTTATCCTATTGTGATTCCCTCGATTTCAACAAATTCTTTGCGTCAGTGTCATTTTGCCTANGAAAAAGTATCTCGTGCGTTATAAGCTTATCCTGGAAATCAACCTAATCATATAGATGACGAAACGAAAAGATATTTTCGAATCAAACGGTCTAAGAGTGCACCTGGTAAGTCCTCAGCCATTGTTCACAACCAAAATGTGAAACGGATAATCCGCGTAAAATAATCTCCTTGGTATCTTCAAGAATGGCTGTGGACAAGCTGCAACTAAAGATGATGCTGCGGTAGTAGAGAAAACACGCTAAGCTTGAAATGTGTATAGGATCACCTATGGGTAACTATTTTGGCCCTGTATTGAACCGGATTGTTGTACCAGTATGACAGGTTGGGACTTTCTACAGTGAGGATATTTACCGTGTGTTTCAGTTTACTCGATTCTCCCTTTCGATTTCTCTTTCACTGAGCTTGCGTGTTTTCTGTGTGATTCACAGTGTGGATACCTTCGCAATGAGGATAACTGAATTCCTATTCCGATCTAGGTGGACGGAACGCCATTGTGTGTTTGTTTGTTTGTGTGTGTGTGTGTGTGTGTGTGTGAAGATGAACCGGCTTCGGGGGCATAAAGTCGATAGGGACATGCCCCGTCACGAATTGTGGTCTGCTCAAATTCGCCAGGTAGACGGCATTCATGACAAGTGATGAAGTACATATTACACTTTTACTCATGCAAAGTTTTACGTTACTCATTTACGCACTGAACGCTGGCGAAAACTCGTAAATTTAACCGATCATTCGTAAATCTTTCGTAAATGTTAGCAATTTTTACGAGAACTTCTTGTGTTATCCATGTGCTTCTCAATCAGCAATAACATCTGTTGTTGCAAAATGCGCGTAGGTTATGCAATCATTATTGAAAAGCAACAGGACTAAAAATGGTAATACGTACATAGAAAATAGATGGAGTCACTTTGATATTTATCATGAATTTCGCAGTGAAAACATCATAAAGAGCGAATACCTCAATGTAAGTTATGACCTAACCCCGGGATGTAACAGGTAGGCAACAAGCTTATTGTCACGTGATCACCAGTTAGTTGATCAGACTGACCCATTTTGTTTGAACAATATGCATTGCTATATTTCTTTGTGAAATTGGTGCAGACAGCGCACCTCTTTCAGTTATCCTGCCCCAGTCTTCAAGGGGAGTACAAGTGATTTGGAAACATTCACTACCTGTTACAGTAGAGTAGTGGAGATTCTGCAAGTCAGTAATGCCACTGTATACTAGAATAAAGTACAGTTGTGCTCTTGTAGGGGTTGCAGTACATGCCTTGATTTTTTTTGCCTGGAAAAGTTGTCTGAAGGGTGCTAGGAGTGTGGAATACAGAGTAAAGAATTTATGAACTGCAAATGCGGTAAAGAGATTGTACCGCTTCAAAATTTTGATAAATTCATACTGGTTTCAGTGCGTCAGCTACACCATGAACCGAACGAGAGGTTTCACAAGCAGAGGGATATGAATGAACTCCATTGATCGGCATGTAGCTGGTTGTGTCCCGTTTTATTCACAGTGACTAATATATGAATGAACAGAAGAAGATTTTCATGCACACCTAGAATGTTATCCAGTCGTGAAAAAGCAATGGAAGCCTTATGCACCTAGTTCATCCTTCCTAGATGAAAACGGCCACCGGTACTCATCGAATTCACTGAACTTCAGTGAGAGAACAATGGATTTTGATTCCGGGGGTGGGGTTGAGGTTGAAATTTATTAGAGATGGCCCCTTACAGTGAATAAGATACACTTTGAATGCTCCCAAGACATGTACAACATCGTTTACCGTTTACCGTTTACGTAATAATTCAAATCGCCTCATCGTTACCCGACAGGATGGGGTGAACTGGTCCACAACTCGGTCAACCCAAAGGCACTTAAAAATGATCACTTCTCTGTATATGTTCTGTATACAGAGAGGATTGTACATTGGAATTCAGCACGTCCGAAATAGTTTTGCGGGGGTTTACATGTCGATAACACCACTGATTCCGTATAAAAAATACGACCGAGCTCTAGGTTTCCACTCATCGAGCATTCTCGAATTTCGGCTGAGAGAGAACTCTTGTAATAACTTAGCCTATTCTATGGTGTAGCGTTTCAGATTGTCTGCCCCCCCCCCCCGAACAAAAGTCACGGAATTCCAACGGTTAGAATGTCCTAGTTTTTCTTCACTGTGTCAGTTTGGCTAGTTTCCAGTTCCGGAAACCAGTTTTGAGTCAGACGGTAGACCCTTTTGTTTTTGCATCCGATTTTCTTGAGACAAGCACACAAAACTACGCATTTTTATCGTTTACTTTCCATTTTTAGTTGGAATTCTCTGGTAGCTCCAAACGACACTCGAACTTGCATGTTCATGAATCTGTTGAACTAGTCGCGATTATTCAATTCACGTAAATGTAACCCTAGAGAACGAAACCGACACGTTGGGCGTTTATTTTTTCTGTATTTTTCTGCTTTTGCGAATCACCAAGCTCACAGTTGACGCTACCTGAACTGGAGAGACTCTTATCTCAATGCCATTCATTCGTTTTTCTGCAAATTTTAACTGGTTTCATTGGTGGATATGTAACCCCAGTGTGCTGCTTATTCAAATTCGTGAATTCTGGATTGTTAATCCAAATTATTTTCCGAAATAATCCTGTTATGACCTCAGACTAATACGTCTTCAGCTCAGAATATAACTTATTCTGAAGTGAGGCTACAGGTGCTTGAAAAAACTCCACTGATTGAGTTCTTGGTATACCCACATTCTCTTCAAAGAATATTATTGGAGACGTGAACAGTGTATCACCCGTTTGTTTGTGTGTATGCTGGACAAAGCAGCTGATACTATGTGTCCCTTCGTGCCTTCTTATCGGTTTGTCGCCCGTATTACGACGGTACCACTACCGTACACACAGCAGGCCACACTGCAGGGAATCGAGTATGTGCTCCAATTGCGTTCGCCACAGGGAACCTGTCCGGTGGCTAGCTATCATCTGTGCACAAAAAGCCGCCATATGGTCATTGAGA